AAAGATAGCTGCTAGTTTTGGGCGAAGTATTTTGATATCGCAAGTTTTTGCCTTAAACCAAATATCTTCACTGTTTATAGCATGACAATATGCCCACATGCAGACAAACAAGCCGCAATCAAGGTTCCCATCCTGCTGCCTGCATCCATGAACCCATTTAGCTTCCGATTGTATCTCCAACCCAGACCTTCTTTCAACCACCTTGCTGTAAAACGAGGCCTACGAAAATAAAATATTATATTAGTCTACAACAATTCGCAAGAATAAAGAATAACTAATTACAAGAATATGGGCTTACGACATAATCCGCAATTCCTGGGAAATTCGGAGAATAGTCTATGGAGTTCCAATGGTAAATACATTTATCTATTGGGTTCAGAACAAGCAGGAACCAGTGTTCACTGGAATTGATAGGTATCATGACAAATGTTTTACTGAAGATATTTGCTGTGTTTAGCTTGTCAAAAGCCATCGTTCCAAAAATAGTAAAATCATTGAGAAGACGATCAAACATGGCATCGCTCATTCGTTCTACGTCCACCCGAGGTCGCGACATTAACTCTTGCTACGAAACATAATAGAGAATATTAGATAAACATTGTAATGTATGCATAATTATTTGTTAAACCACTATATACCTGGGCAGGGGAGTCAAGGTAATCAATCTCATGTCCATGTTGGTTCATGATAGATTCGGAACATAATAGATTCAAGTACAAATCTATGTGTTCTGCACTCAGCATTTCATCAAATAAAAGTTCGCACATATGCCTTCCCGTCAACTGATGTGGGCCTCTCTCCACAATAATTTCACTACAGTAAGACATAACCACGTACTATTGGATAAGTAAACTTGTACTATGTACAAAGTTACTACATACTATAACATGCAGTAAACATGTACTATTGGATAAGTAAACTTATACTATGTACAAAGTTACTACATACTACAACATGCAGTCAACATGTACTATTGTATAAGTAAACTTATACTATGTACAAAGTTACTACATACTATAACATGCAGTCAACATGTACTATGCATTCACTTGACATATACCATTAAAGACATTAACATGTACTATCAAGGTGGTTGTGCTCTTACCCTAAATCAACACTTTCCAAGAACTGATCCAACAATATCCTATCTTCTTCGGATATTTGGTCACGACGTACGTAGTCCTTTCTTCCCCGGTAATAATCGGCATTCTATATAACGAATAAATCACACCAATTATGACAAAAAATAATAATAATGTAATACTAATATTAGATAAAAATACCTTGATCCCAGGGACTGAAACCGAAACCTTGGACACAGGAACTTGTTTACGACCACGTCCTCGTCCTCGTCCTCGCACGCGTGGAACTTTGGCCTTTGACTTTGGCCTTTGACTTTGACTTTCGTCTCCTTGATTTCTCTCTCTTTCTTCACTTCGTTCTCCTTCACCTTCCATCCCCTTTCCTCCTTCATTTTCTCCTTCCTTTTCCCTTTCCTCTATCTCTGCCTCTATCTCTATCTCTTTCTCTGTCTCCGTCTCTCCCTCTATCTCTGCCTCTATCTCTATCTCTTTCTCTGTCTCCGTCTCTCTCTCTTTTTCTGTCTCTGTCTCTTTCTCTTTCTCCTTCTCTTTCTCCTGCTCTTTCTCTATCTCTATCTCCTTCTCTTTCTCTATCTCCTTTTCTTTCTTTCTCTTACTCTGCATTTTTTTTTCTTTATTTTTTTCTTCTGTTACATTCCCTCTCTTCCTTTTTAAGTTATTCTTCATCTGCTGCAACTAAAAAAAACAATAGTACGAAACATGTTATACCATAGTATTATATTAGTTGACATATAGTATGTTCCAATGGGAATGGAAGTATGAATTTTAGGGTTTATTGTATTAATGACTTACAGATGTTGCTTCCACGTCTCCAATCTCATCTTCACTACTCTCAGAACTTATTTCCACAAATCTGTCAGCACTAATTCCAACAACTGGACCAGAAATTACTTCCAAAACCGGAGAAAGCAACGCTTTCTCTTTCGGGTACACAGAAAATGGTATAACCTAATAAACGTAAAAAATTTGTTAGCAAATACCTAATACATTATATATTTTGTAACTCAAAGTGTTACCTGCACTTGTTTTATCTGATCAAAAAGCAACCTAGCTGCTTCTTCATCGATTGGGATTTTGCTGTCTTGCCACCGGAAGAACCGGGGAAATTTGTAAACACTGGTGCTAACCCCTAGTGACGTGATCCTTTCATGCACCCATGCCTGCGTATTTTGGAATCAATATTAATTGGTATATTCAATATAACAAAATATATATTCACTATTAGATATCACTTACCAATAAGCCGATAGTGCATCCATCAAAATACTTCAACCCCCCATTCAGATACCCCTCCATATTCTCAACAAGAATATCATACACCAACTTTCCCCATGCAAAAGACCCTAAAACCTCCAAATCTTCTACATGCGGATAAACCCACCTTTCTAACGTTTTGTTCCCCTTTGGCAGTAGAATAGTATTAAACAGATAAATAGTGTACAATCTGCTGAAATCTTCAACAGATTGTTGATCGGTCATAACTGCATAGGCCTCCAGTTTATAACCAATATATGGCCTCGTCATTAAAGATAACTTACCATCAAAAATACGTGTGATGAAACCAGTGTCTCTGCCATCCATATTCACATCCACCGGTACGCCTTCGTACTGCAGCCCTAATACGATAGATAATTGCTGCGGAGTGAATTCCAAGCGTATAGTATTTCCCCCAAACCAGAAGGCCCGATCTTCTGGATTGTACGCTTGCATGAGAGACACAACCCTATGGAAGCTGTGGTTTATTTTAGGCATGTCCATGTAGTGATAGAAGGGATTTTTCTTCAGTACTTCATGATGTTGTTTCTTCATCACTTTTTTCACACCTTCCATAGTTAGGTGAAAAGCGATCGGTGAGCACCTGCAGCCTATTGATAGCTTGCTGCAATCTTCTTTTACAACAATTCCTGCAATTACATACACATAAAACAAATACAATTATAACAAATACAACGTACTATAAAGTTCCACATGTCAATACCATCCGAAATCACTAGTAATACCATTCAAAGGCACTGGTAATACTATTATGGCATATGACTTATACTACAGGACCATCAAACATTATACTTCTAGTACCACAAGTCAATACCATCCGAAGTCACAAGTAATACCATTCAAAGGCACTAGTAATACTATTATGGCATATGACTTATACTACAGGACCATCAACATTATACTTCTAGTACCACATGTCAATACCATCCGAAGTCACTAGTAATACCATTCAAAGTCACTGGTAATACTATTGTGGCATATGACACATGCTACAGAACCATCAAAGATTATACCATCTAAATGCACTATTAATACCATTACTGCGCATGACACATACTATAGAACCAGTACGAAAAATACAATAAGCCTCTTTCCCATATCCTATATGAAACCCTTGTTAGGACTCAAAATGCTTTGGGGACATGCTAATGTCACCGAAGAATAATACCCATGAGAAAACTGTTACAAAATCATGAAATTCGACAACAAATAAATGATCTTTGCAAACCCAAACAACAGAACAACAAATATTGGAACCGATTTAATGATTAGGGCAAACACCGAATAAAGTCGAGGCATAATACCCATGAGTGGATATGTTCAAAATCATGCAATTCTATAACAAATAAACCTTTTTGCCCTGCTTAAGCAACACCCAAATGGGTCTGTTTCCAAGAAAATGAAAAAAAAATAAAAAATCAAACCTTGTTGTTTACCCTGCTTCACCATTGTTTATAAATGGGTTTGTTTATAGTATTTTTCTGCGGTTTGTTGATTCTTCGTGTTTCGTAATTTCTTCCTTCTTTGTTGTTTCTCTGTTGCGTTTCTTCTTCGTTTCTTCTTCGTTTCTTCTTCGTTTCTTCTTGGTCTGAAAATGGGTATTACTGAACGGTGGTTTTTTCTGCGCCTTTTTAGCTTCTTTTTTGTTGTTTGATTTTTGAAATGTAACGGGCAAAGAGCGTGTAATACAAAGAGCGTGTAATACAAACGGCGCGTGGGAAGTTGAAAAGAAGTTATGTAAAATTAGTATAAAGTAAAGGGTATTTTCGTATTTGCACATTTTATTAGGGACTGATCTGCATGTTAGGCGCGTGAGTAGGGACTGAAATGCTAGGGGAAACTACCTAGGGACTGATCTGTGTTTCAAGTTTTGGTTTAAGGATTTTTCTGTAGTTTCCCCTTAAATTAAATATTAACTCGTTCAACCAAACATTGAATTACTTGTTATAACAGGTCATAATACCAAAATTCTCAACTTCTATAAGTTACATGCATAAAATTCAAAATTTAAAATGCAGTGGACTAAAACTCTTAATTAGTAAACATACACGACTAAAAAACTCATTTTGCCTAAAATACTCCCTCCTTTTTTCTAAGTATCTATTTAACCATTTTCTCATATTAAGTGCACTTTAGGTTTCAATGTAGTACAATTTTTTTCTCTCTTCAATTTTACGGCTTTACGTCAACATAAATGACAGATTAATAAAGTAATAAAGAGAAGTTGAAAAACACAGAGATAGTTTTATCGAATAAAAGTTTGTTCTTCAAAAATCAAGGCTCTTTAATAACTTTCTTAATTGATTTGCATTAACCTTAAACGGTGAAACCAACGAAAACCACCATATGGAATATCCTACTACCTGCTTACGTCGTGTCGTTGTTCAAGTATTGATAGCGTGCAAGAAAACACCATATGGATGGATATTCACACCTAATTCATCCACCATCAGAATTGCGTCTTCAAACATTGCTTCTACAAATTATTCACGCCTACCCACTTTATAATCAACTGTAATCGGCTCGAAAATTGTGAGCCAGTTCGGTTTTGTTTTATCAATAAAATATATTGGTAATTGTTGCAGAAAGTTTTAACCAAATAAAAATAATAAAATCGGTGGGTTAAACGGCCAGTTCGAACGGAACAAACAATTTATCTTTATATATGCGGTTTACCATCTTAAATAATAAGCATATAGATAGATACTAGATGTTGCAAATCAACTTATGCATATTCAAGAGAATTGTTAAAAGTCAACCACTTCAAAGGCTTGTTTTCTATTCGGAGAAGAAAAAAAAGTCAACTCACCATGAAACTTAAACTCGGAAGAATAGAATTATTAGTTGCAGTTGACCAGGTACGCGTCCCATCCTTGGAGCCGATACTCCCTAGCTGCCTCTGCAGGGTTCGTTGCCTTTATAATGCCACGACCAACGATGATGATGTCACTTCCTCTGTCTGAAATTACCTGTAACACATACATTTATTTCGTGTAAGCTATGTAAAATCAATACTGTAGCACCGGAATTCGCTCTCTTCCAAAAGGAGGGAATATGAAGTTGTTATTAACTAACAAAATCTTTGCTATTCTAATCATGAAGTAGACAAACTAATCGACCGAGTCAAGTAGAGAAAAAGCGGTTGACCGAGTCAAGAAATTATGGAAGGGTTTTAAAAGGCTGAATTTAAGGTTCTTGAAGGGTTGTGAAAATTTTCAGCTTATGGAAAGATCGAAGGAAGCAGAAACTTCGAAGTAAATTAAGAGAAAAGATCAAGAAAGCTAGGAACCATTTTCTAGAACTCTTTAGATATCAAAAGTAAGTTGCGATTGCATAATCGAATCACAAAAAGCTGTCATAATGTACACTGCTTATTAGGCCTCGAGATATCTTCATATCCTACACTATAACTGCGATTTCGACTTTTTATCAAGTATACTGCCTAATAAAATGCATCGCATGTAATCAATCAAAAGCACTTTAGATTAGAACCTAAAACATGAATCAGCTCACAAAATAAATTTATTTCTTAATGCAACTAGCATATTTCGTACATCTTTTTTTTTTTTTTTTTAATTATGCTTATAATGTCCAGAATGGAGTATATAATAACACAAATGCCACTTACAAAAGAGGGAGTGTTGTATTGCTGGCCCAGAGCATCTCCACCTTTAACCATTTGAACACCGGGGGTTGCATGAATAAGAGATGGATTTCCTGGTCCAGTAGGCCAAGATGCTGGATTGACAGATATGAATCCAATAACAAAATCTGGATGTTCTTCGGCAATTTTCAATGCAGCAGCTGTGTACGCACCCGTGGCAAGGTTCCCGGAGGAACTCATTTCAGCAAGCAACAACAGACCTCTGCCACGTGGCAAACCCTATCACAATGTAAAATTTCAGGTTAGGAATGAAATATGCTATCAGTATCTAATGGTCCAAAGTGGAGCGAAATCGAACCTTCAATTTTAAGCCGTCCACAATTCCAGGACCTGAGATTATATGAGCGTTTACTATATCTGCCCACTCCAATATACGGAAGATACCTCTGCACAAATAACAGACCAGAAGAAAACTTTCAAGGGAAGCTTCGGAAGAATCTTGATAAATGTGAAGCAATTAAAAAATTCCCTACCCTGCATACTGCATGGTGACTGTGTTGCCAATGTCAGCAAACTTACGATCCTCAAAAATTACGAAATTATGCTTCTCTGCAATCTTCAGAAGGTTAAGCACAATAAGTTGGTGCTAAAGCTTATTATTTCAATTGAACAGCTATAGCATTAGGAAAAACACACTTAAATCTTCAATGAAACAATGTAGAAGTAGCTTTTAGGCATAGAATGGTCATAGAAGGGAAATAAATCTGACAAACTCAGCAGTAATATTCAGAGAATAGGGAATATACCAGTCGAAGTTTAGATCCAAAATCAGGTGTGAAATCAGGCAGTATATCCACGTGGGTTTTTAACATGCAGATCTCGGGTCCAACCTGCAAAATTACCCAATGAAGAGGTGAGAGAGACCATTCCCAGGAAAATATGTGCTAGCTAATTAAAATTAGAACCGTAGCCATCAGAGGAATTTTGTACAGAAGTACCAATATTTAGGAAAATACAGTCACGTCACCTTTGAACACAAAACTAGATGTACTAATGGAGGAACATTTTGTAACAACCATTATTGTTTGTTCGAATCCCTTATGATCTTTTACAAATAGATGTATGTTTACTTCAAAATTTGATTTGCATTTGATGAGGAAACTCGTTGTTTTCCCAAGAAGTTCAAGAATACGGAAAATTTGAACTAGGCACAAAATTCTGCACATCTCACAGGACACGACCACAAAAAGAAATGATAAACCGAAAATCTAAAATTGAAATTTCCGAAAGGAAATAGTCTCTAGATGTTTTCCTAAACTAGGAGCAAGACCTTTCAAGCTTTTCTACAGGTCCAACAATAATCATCCTGAATCTAATATATCAGTGTACTTGAAACAGATGTTAAACATACAGAATTACAGATTCATGCATACAAGTGATGTGGGGAAGAATATAAACGAGACTCGAAGAAAGATTCATTTTCCTATTCCTTACTTTTTCAGCAATGTCGAGCAACTCCGCAGCAGTAGAAACATCAGCAGCCAAGCACAAATTAGATTCTTTTTGCACCATAATTTCAAATAACTTCTTTCCAGTTGGATTCTTTGCTAGCTTTGCCCTCTCTCCATATGGAAGTCTAACTATGGGCTTCTTCTCAGCTGCAGCCGGCAATGGAACTGACACCTTGCGATTGTCTTCCAAGAACTTCATCACCATCTTCTCGGTCTCTTCGGATACTCTCCCCTTTTCCTTCAAAATCCTCACCATTTCACTCAGCTTCACCATTGCGTGAAGTTTGATCCCATTTTCTGACAAATTTTCTCTCCCTCCTTGCTCCCTTTTCAAAATATAAGCAACAAAACAAGCACTTATCAGGAAGAAAAATCTCATGCATACTAACAACAGGCAGAAAAATCTCATGCATACTATAGCAATCAGGGGCGAGTCCACCCCTTTGCCAGGGTGGACTCAACCCCACCCTGAATTAAAAATTATACCATTAAATTATATCTATAATTGTATTTAGCCCACCTCAAAATTAATGCCAAAAAAAAAACCTCCTAAAAAAAGTCCAATCTTTTTTTTTTCTTTGCCTATTGTTTGATTTTGTCATATTTAATGCACATAGATGCCCTCCGGAGGCACTGCCCCCGAAAAATTAAGCCCACCCTGGAAAAAAATTCTGGACTCTACATTGATAGCAATTGGTTAATGATAAAACAAAGGGGCAGTAAATAACTGAAAGGATGTACCTTTGCCCTTCAATAGGTAATAAACAGTTGCATAAACACTGAAAGGCATTGAACTATAGCAAGGCAACTTAAATAGCAAAAAGTACATTTGTAACAGGAAACGTTAATGTAGACCAAGTGATTGTTGATTGTTGGATGTTTGCATGTTGTCATAAAGTCAAATGCTCAAGTCTTCACTTGCAAACCAAATGACTCACGAATCTCTTTAAGACAGAGTTCACCCTCAGACAACAATAAAAAAAACGTACTAAGATCATACAGCACACAACATGCATAAACAAAAAAAAAAAGTCTACCTTGTCACAGAAAAGCACACAAATAGCAATTTTTGAAACATCATATTTCACTGTTTTTATTACAAATATAAAGCAGCTGATATTTCACCACTTTTCACTAAAAATGGAGAGAACAGCAACACAGAACCGCTTAAGCATTAAAAATAGAAAGAAGTTCATATTTCAACATTTTTATTAAAAATAGAAATAACTGCTTAATCACGTCAATTCACCTGTCAATCATGACAACGGCGTCGGTGACTTTCAGTCCGGCGGCACGGAGCGGCGCCGCCGTCTCAAGCACGGATGCCCCGCTGGTGACCAGATCCTCGACAATGAGGCAGACTTGATTCTGCTCAAACGCCCCCTCAATAGCCTTGGCGGTGCCGTAGTCCTTAACTTCCTTGCGGCGCATGAGCATGGGGATACCGGAGGACATAGAGATGCAGGTGGCGATGGGGAGGGCGGTGTAGGGGACGCCGCAGACGACGTCGTAGGGGGTGGCGGAAGGCACGGCGGCGATGAGCGTCTGGGAGATTTGGCGGAGCAGGGAAGGGTAGGAGACGATGAGGCGGAGGTCGATGTAGATTGGGGAGGAGATGCCGGATTTCAGCTTGAAGTTGCCGAATTTCACGGCGGCGATGTCGTGGAGCTGCAGTATCAGAGACTCCATTGTAGGTGGTGGTGGTGGAGATGACATTTGTGAGAGAAACTGTATTTGAGAGATATGAGGGTTTCAGGCTTTTCGGTGTGAAAAAGACTGCACTTTGTTTTGTATTGTGATTTCCGTTTTCTAGGGTGAATTGGAAGGGTAAGAATGTAATTCACTAATCTGATTTGAATTTTAAATCATTTATTTAATAAAATATTCACGGCTCATGATAAAAGTGTGTATATATAAAATATATACACGGCTAAAAGTATGTAAACAATGATTTGAGTGTTTTATTCCATATAAATTATATTATTGCACACTAAATAAGTAAATAGCACTCCACCCTTGTGGTTACAAGGTTTTATATACGATCAAATGTATTCATAACATCATCACATAACAACGCATTTATTGTTTATGGGTGGCTTTCGCTAGTTTTTCTATCAAACATAATCTCGTCAGTTAGACTTGAAGAAGGTCATCTGTAAAAAAATTGTTTTGACGTTTAATACTGACGGTTAAGTTTGACGGAAAAACTAACGGAAGCTACCATCATCAATCACAAGGGAGTTAGTGCTAATATTATAAGTATAAGGGAGTAATCTGCAAATGCATGTAACCATATGGGGTTAAGTGATATTTACCCTAAAAATAGATTGTAATATTTGTCTGGCCATGAGTAAATTGTAGTGGGGGACAAGAATCAAATTCTCTTCTTTTTGTAGTAACCCTGACCCAAGACTAAGACTTTAGCAACTTATAGTAATAGAGTAAACTGCAAATACTACCCCTGTGTTATCTCGAAATAGCAAAAACTCCCCTGTGATAAATAAACTAGCAAAAACCCCCTGTGAAATTTAGTCAAAGGCGGAATCTCCCTTAGCTGATTTTTTAGACTTGAAATGACAAAATTGTCCCTCAAAATATATTCTGAAATGCTATTCATAGTGCGGTTTTTACCGGCTTGCAGTGCGATTTATTTCATTTGTAACTTTCCTAAAAAAAAACCAAATTCGCCCGCTATTTCGTGTATTATTACACGAAATACACTCAATAATTTCGTGTCTTTTCACACGAAATAGCGGTGTTTATTGTTATAGAACACGAAGGACGAAACAGTTAGATTAAAAAAAATCGTGTATTTCGTGTAAACGTACACGAAATGGAAGACCATATTTCGTGGAGTTTTCTACGAAATGGAAGACCATATTTCGTAGATTTTTCCACGAAATATGAAGTGACATTTCGGGAAATTCAGTACGAAATAACTAATTGATTTATTTTTTAACTAACCAATTTATTTCAGACACTCAAATTGACATAAAAATTCAAATACAAATACAAATTGAACTAGAATTCAAATACAACTACAAATTGATCTAAATTTCAAATACAAAATTGACACAAAAATTCAAATACAACTACAAATTGAACTAGAATTCAAATACAACTACAAATTGATCTAAATTTCAAATACAAAATTGACCTAAAAATTCAAATACAAATACAAATTGAACTAGAATTCAAATGCAACTACAAATTGAACTAGAATTCAAATACAACTACAAATTGAACTAGAATTCAAATACAACTACAAATTGAACTAGAATTCAAATACAACTACAAATTGATCTAAATTTCAAATACGAATAAAATTGAACTAGATTTCAGATACAACTACAAATTGAACTACCGACCAGACTTTAATTGTTCGTACAAGAGTAGTCGGGGTTTGTACGTTTTGAGTAAGTGCCTCAAGTTTTTAGCTCTATGGTGTACCCATGACGGATGGATTGGTGGTACGGTAGTGGACTATTTGCGACCAAATTAACAAACATGAAATGATTGTTGTGCAATGTCACAACAATCATACATGATAAGTGACCACTGCCAAATATAGGAAGGTAAGTCATACGGGAACAACCGTAATAACTTAATAGATTCGGGACATGCAAACATAATATCTGTAATCGTGTTGCTCGTTTCACTATCGACGCGATGCCAATATCGATACTCGCCTTTTTGAAAGTTATGCATCATAAACTGAATAACAGTCACGCCCTCCATTTCCTCAGATTTAATCTTGGCCAACTCATTGTAAACATGCTTCATAGAGGTTTGTATCGTCGGATCATCTTTTCTCAGTCTATCCATGATCAGCATTGGCTTCACGTGAGAATTTCGCAATTCTTTAATTCTTGCTTTCTGTTGTGGAGTTATACGACTAGTCGTACCTTGTCCGTGAGGAAACAAAGTCGGACGATGACTATGCCTGCCATCGCTGACAGTCAACCGCCATAATTCATCAAACCTTGACCTTTTGCCAATCAATTTGAACGGACAACCACATTTTTTTGTTCCTGAGTTTCTAGGATCTTCCACATCGATATTCGTTTGTCGGCCATGTCCGTATTTGTCACACGTCATGTACTGTGCATTCTCCCTTCTAGACTGACAAATCAAACGGTGACAATGACTAACTGCAGTTTCTTTCGCCCAGTTGATTAATTCTTCCCTACTGCCGAACACAATATCAACTTGGAAGAAGTGAGAGAAATCTTCATATTCCTTTTTATCCAAAACCGAGGGATCAAAATACAAATTGTCGTCATATGGCTGCGTAAATACAAAAAAAAGGTTAGATACTTGCACAAAAAAAATTAATAACAATACTAGGTATTTCGTGTATAATTACACGAAGTATATGCATACATTTCGTGTAATTTTACACGAAATGTATGCATACATTTCGTATAGTACTGCACGAAATAAATAACAAAACAGTTTTACTGATATTTCGTGTGACTTTACACGAAATAATAGGTAACATTTCGTAGTATTGTACACGAAATGACTGGAAAACACGAATAAAGTGTTCATTTCGTGCAAAACACCACGAAATGACTTGAATAATTTCGTGATATTCTACACGAAACGACTGAAAATCGAAAAAAATCACACTAAAACGTATTTTTTTACCTCATTTACGGGATCGATGTTGGCCATCTTGATAATCGTTGGGTTTTAACTCATTTCTACGAAAACAAATCACGATCTACGAAAGTCGAAATATTTGGAGGTTGAGAGGATTTTGTAAAAGGTTCAAGTGGTTTTTGACAAATGAATTATTTTGCACTGTAGCTGGAAAAAACCGCACTGATAATAGCAAGCCCCAAATATATTTTTATACATATACATATTATATGTATATTTATTCTTTTTAATTTATTTGTTTAGAAATTAAAAAAATAGTAAACAACTAAATTGATTATGTTTTAAATAAAATAATTAAATTATTTATAAAATATAAGAATTTATTAATTGCAAGACTCGAGGGGTATTTGTGTCTTTTTATATCAAGTCAACCCTCAAATAGTTCCATAGGGGGGTTTTTGCTATTTAAATAATTTCACATGGGAGGTTTTTGCTAGTTTATTTATCACAGGGAGGTTTTTGCTATTTCAAGATAACACAGGGGTAGTTTTTGCAGTTTACTCTATAGTAATAATAGAAAATAGTGCCAATGATGCTAGTCATATTTTTAAACATATACTATACCACTTTAAGTTAGATACTGTATCAGGTTAAATCATGTGTGAAGGTAATGGAAAATATTATTTTAGAAGTAATATTTAAAAAGATAAATTGGTTATTGTTTATTTTTGAGTGAATACTTTTCGTACTCTAACAATCAAATTATTCTTTTATTGACATAAACTTTTTAAATTGTTTTCGGGAATTTATTTTTATGAAAAAATTAATAAATGTGAATTTGTTTTTGAGAAACGATGGAAAACTTTAGGGAAAGCAAACCAAGCTATGAAAAAAGCACGAAAGGAATCCAAGCATACACAAGTCTCCGCAAACTACCTGGCACCTGCAGTTCAAGGCGCAAATTAGCAATGTCTATATTGTATCTCGTGCATGCCATTGATTATGATAAAATCGCAGAAGTACCGTTTCGACTTTCTAAACCAAATTTCCTACTTTCTAAACCAAATTAGCAATGTCTATACTTTTCATATGCATTTACCCCCGATAGGCCCGATACAATCACCTATTCGTGGGTTAAGATCTTCATTTCCAACCATTCTTCAAGTTGTTGGTGGTAATTAAGCTCTCCTTGTTCATTAATTGAAATTTTCGAAGTTGCGTTATATCATCTTCATTCGTTCACCCAAAAACGCGCACATCCATTCTGATTCATGTAAATGAACGATGGATCTATAACAACTTCACTAGATGTATCATAAATATTACCTAAAAATCCCTTTTCGCAACGTTACAAATTTCCCGGACGAGCGAGTTCACAAAGTACCATTTTCTTCACGATTACACTCAAAAATGAAAAGACATAATCAAATACTTAGATACTTATAATAGATCAATGCAATCTTAACAGCTTATAACAAGCTTATCTATCCACGCCTATCAATAACGACCCACGTTTTTCTTCCTTCATATAATCGACATATTTTGACGCAAAAATGTCGAAGAGATTATAGAACTAACCTAGCACATATGCTAAACCTTAGTGGATAATACCATAATATTCGATGCATAGAGAAGCAAATAGAATTCAATTTGCCTACTAAACTTCAAATAGCATGATCAAAAGAAGATTCATATATATATATATATATATATATATATATATATATATATATATGCACTCTACTACTGTTCCTTCCAAATCCTACCAGTAACCCTAAACTTGAGCTCTTTCCTGTCACCACCGGAGAAGAAGAGGGCCATATTGCGTTGAATGATGAGACCATCGAAACTATCACGGACCTTTCTATGGCTATCCCTTATGCTTCTTGGAACTCCCTGCCACGTCATCTTCCTCCCGTTTCCTCCAACCTCGAGGCTGTAGCTATAGTTCTTCGCCTCGCTATCGTCACCCATGAACCTCAAGAACGCTATGTACACCGGTGCCATTCCTAGCTGAAACGCTTCGAAGTGCAGACAGAAGTACTGCCCGAAACAACTAAATACCTGAAAGAAATTACATAGATCAGTAATTAATTAATAAATTAATCATTCTAATATTGTTTTTAATTTATTGCGTATGATGTAATCCAGCTTGCTTCCACACTGCCATGATTACTAGAAGCCGTAGTTTGGTTCGAAAGTGCATCTTTATGTATATAAATTCAAATTCAGGGGGGGGGGGGGGATGCAATTTTTCATTACCGTAAGCATCCATGTGGCGTTCTCGACCTCATGCGGATTGGATTTGACGTAGCGGTGGTTGAAAGTGGTGCCGTTGTGCATGTCGACTTTGTGATCGTCTTTCAAGTGGTTGACGAGAAACGGGATATCTCCCACGGCCGAGCACTCGGACCCCGCATAGGGGCAATTGTAGGGTCTGAAAGCGCATTGAGATTCGTGCTTGAGCTTGCTGTAGTATGGATAAATTCCGATGCACCCGAAATTTTGATATTTACATGGAAGCTCGAGTGATGCGGCTACTTTCTCTAGCGCAAGGCATCTTATATTTCCGAGGTCTTGCCTGCAAGTTGGACAACGGTTGTGCACCTTCGGTTTGCAACTAGAGCAAAGTGTGTGGCCATTGGAGCACTGCGATTAACAAGTGTGAATGAAAAGTGATTAATGAAATATTAAAAATCAAGGAAAGGAAAAGGCATAAATTACAAAGCTAAGTGCTATATATACAAAACCACAAGAAGGAAATCATTTCAAGTAATCTCGGTCCACTTTGGTTTGAAACCAGGGTACGTGTACTTTTTTTTTTCCAACAATTCACGTATCCGAAATATTACTTCCAAAGATAGTGTCTACTATTAGACATAACTATTATAAAAAGTGATAACCATGACAGAAGCCATGAAAATGACGAGCGATTACAACGAATCCCGCTCCATATTTGAGTAGCAATTTAGGATCCTTATTTCTTAGTACAAAATATACTTGTACCTGATAAATGGGAGGGTACATTGAATTCAAGCAAACAGGACAGTCCAGCAGGTCGCGTACGCTACTTGTGACAGTCACATTAGGTTTAAGGGCACTTTGAGCAGTGTCACTGACGTGTTCACCAACATCCAGCATGTCTTTATTTTGAGGTGGGTCGATGACCTCTGGCTTGTTTCGCAAGTCATCAATATACGAGTTTCCACTTGCCATTGGCAGCATGCACAGTCAGTATCTGCATGACAATTTAGAGGTTAAAAAAATTAATGAAAATCTACAGCATAGATAACACTTGGGATGGTTATAATAGACACTAGCATTAGCCATTAAGCAAACATGAAAAATAGAAAGCGCTCATAGTTAACCCGTTAAAAATTATCTCCTTACGATGTCTAGGTAATCAAGAAACCTAACAGATTGTGAAAAATAGTAACATTGAATGTTCATTTGAATCTTGCTTCAGTGTTTTGATACCCCAATAAAACTCATTCCCTTTAACTATAAATATCAAGTGAATCATCATTTTGAAATGAATCGAATTTGGTCGCTTTTTATTAATTTAATCGGGATTCATCAAAAAAAAACTAGGATATTAAGAAAATCATTAGTGAAATGTAGAATTAATTTTTTAAAAATTTAAACGTAAAGCCAAACCAAATTCAAATAAAATCAAAACCGAAAACCCAACTAATTGAACTAAAGTCTAAACCTAATCTTAACAAGATCCAACGAAACATAACCCTAAATATTTCATCACACCCCACCGCTTCCTCTCCTTCTCTATCTCTGCCATTCTCACGCAACAATCAGCCATCGTATATGCTTTCTTCTCCTTTTCTAAAAAGAGCGAAAAACCAAAATGACATCTCGACTACCAATACGTGGACAGTGAATTCAGATTCATAACTAGCAGGTTCAGTAATCTCAGCGTGCACCAGCAAACAAAAACCCGGAAACCCTAAATCTTCCATTATTTAGATCAAATTCATCGCATAAGCTTATGTCATGTACTAAAAGACATTTCACGAAAGAAAAAGAATCGAGGCGACGAATATAAAAGGATTGGCTCGAAGATTAGTCCACGGTTAGTCAGCTCAACAAATTGCTGGATAGTACATTACATTTTCTTCAATTCTCAATAGAAATACATCTCAACTTCCAGCAACACGAATCAAAAAAAAAAATACTTTACAATCTGGAATACGATAATCGCCGATACATTTACGAATTAAAGATCAACAATCAAAGATCCAGAATATTCAAAAAAAAAAAAGCCCAAAATCATGTAGCTAAAAACTCATCTCACCCTCACACGCATATATACAAACACACAAAGATATGAAAAAAAATAAACAAATCAACCAGAATTAAACTAGAAAAATCAAAAGCAAAACAGTAGAAAATTTACAGGAGAAACACAGAGAGAGAAATTACCTGGACGAAGCAACCGTTTTTGAAATTAAGAAAAAACCCCAGGAGAGAGAGAGAAGAGGTTAAATAAAACCCCTCAAAAAATTCGTACGCGACTAGCTACAGCCAGCAAAAGGTCAACAAATTGAAATAGGAGCTGATCCAAAAATGCTAATAAATTTAGAGAGAGAGAGAGCAGGAGAGAAGTCTTCAGTGTTGCTGTTTGAAGTAAGAAATGGGGAATCGACAAAGGTATACAGTTGCAGTATAATTTCGGGAAAAATAAAACAAAAATAAAATTAAAAGAGGAGAGAGAGAGAGAGAAGGAGAGGAAGTTTCAATTCAAATGAAGAGAGAGAAAGAGAGGGGGTGGGGGCGTGGGGGGAGGGAGAGCGTGTGGGCATGATAGAAATTAGAATGAATATAAACAAAAAGGTCATCCAAAAAGGGTGGGGCCCAGCTACTATTTTCAATTTTGTGATCATCAAAAAAGAAAACTACACTATTTTGCAGAGTAATTGGCACTTTGCACCTTCTAAATATATCTATTTGCCACATTGCACCCTTAAATTGTAAACTTAGTACTTTGCACCCTTTAACTAGCATTTGTTTGGCAAAAGGCACCCTCTCTTATAAATTTGGCACTTTGCACCTTTGAATTAGCATTTGGTTGGCAAAACTCTCTCTCTCTCTCTCCCCACCGGCATTGATTTTATCGGAAAAAAAAAACATTTTTATCAATTCCTAGCATACTTTACTTTCTCTTCTTTTTTTTCCTTTCTCAATCGTCGATTTCATTTTTCCTACAGACGCAACTCATAATATTGATGTTTCTCATCTGTAATTTCAAGATTTTGGAGTTCAAAAAATGGTGCACGAGTGCCAATTACCCTATTTTGAGTTTTCTCGTTTCGCTTAAGAAAAATTGAAGTTCGGTTGCATAAGTTGTAAAAAAGATGAGGGGATGGTAAGGTGGTGACAACATGTTTAAGAGACTAACCATATGAAAATTTGTACTAAGAACTTTTTATGGAAATAAAAAATAAGTGTACATTTTTGTTAGTAAACTCCTTTAAAAATATTTTGTATAAGCTAAAGATTCTCTCGAATATTTTGCATTTGCTTCAAGTCCATCAATAGCTTAGTTGGACAAGATTGAAAATACACAAGCTGAAAAATAGTCTACTTAGGCCTTCTTTGCTATACTTGATTCAGAGCTGATAAATTATATAATATTAATTATCTCATGTTTGCTTGTAATTTGCTTATTGTGGACTAATTGTGGGTCCCATTCACCAATCCCACAAGGTTATGATACTGCTGTCCCAGGGGAGATGAGATTCTCCAATCCCTTCATAAATCTCGATGGCCCACATTCAATTAAGACAACAAAACCCCGAATTTGATAGATGATAAGACGACAAAACCCTCCAATTTCTTCATATTTACTACCACCCACATATATAAAGGTTTTTTTTCCATTTTATCACATCCGAAACCCTAGCAACTGAAATTCAGGGTAAATTCTGCATCTTTCTTTATCACGTTTTTTCTTTTTTTTGATAACCTATTTTCACTCATAAATTCTTGTCACATTTTGTAGACATAGATCGAATTCGTTTTCTGAAGAAGTTGGTAAGTATGGTTATTTGCTCTTTGTGATGAATGTCTGAATGTTTGTTGTTTGTGGTAAAGCATTCGACTATGTTTTTGAATCATTATGCAGTTGAGTTTATTATCTGGGTTTTATCGGTTTTTTCCTATACATTATTCTAGAAAAAAATGTAGCGTCGATTTTATTGGGGTTTTTTTTTAAAGATAATTTAATTGTGTTTCCGATTAAATATTTTTCAAGTAAACGCAGATCTGAATGGTATTATGTGGTTAGAATGTACTTGCTCAACTATATGTGTGAATTCATTCTGGTAAATAAGTTGTCGTTTACTATGTACTGTGGTTTTAAGGTAATTTTATTTGATTTTTTGATTGCATTTGATTCAAGATATTACGATCTTAAATTAATTATTAGTCCGATTTATACAGTTTCCTATTTCCAACCTATGGACACTGTCACCGACGAGGGAGAGGTTATTGTTGTGTTGGATCAAATTTTGGATGACATCAAGTTACGGTTACTATTGTTTTTTCGTATTTATATGTCTATTGGGCGTCGTCGTTTAACTAATACACCGAACAATGGGAGAACATAAAGCTTAATAGCAAAGATACCTAAACAACTAGAAAAATTGCATGATCTGGTGGGTATTGACGATGTCACGTGTATGGATAATCTTAGAATGAATATGGACACTTTCAAACACTTGTGTTATCTACTTGAACATTGGGGTGGACTTTTAGCAACCAAAAAATGTTCAAATACCCGAACAAGTTGCAATATTTTTGAGTATTTTGGCTCGCCATACAAAAAATGTTGTCATTCGTTCTTCCTTCAAACGATCTAGATTCACTGTTAGCAAACACTTTAATAGAGTTTTAGCCGCACTTCTTAAGTTGCATTCTATATTATTGGTCACCCCCAACCAGTTTCAGACGATTCCGATAACCAAATGTGGAAGTTTTTCAAGGTAAAATTTAATATTGCATATTGTGTTTTCTTGAAAACTGAATTTGAAGATAAAATAACTATATTAATAAATCAGTGTATAATTTTTCCTCAAAGGGTTGCCTTGGTGCACTAGATGGAACATACATTAATGTTAGGTTGTCTCGAGCTGATATGCCAAGGTATAGGAATCGAAAGGGTAACATAGCCGTCAATGTTCTTGCTGTTTGTGATTTAACATGAATTTTGTACATCTCTTGATTGGATGGGAGGGGTCCGCTGCGGACAGTCGAGTTCTTCGTGATGCTATTACTAGGTCTAATGGTTTAAAGATTCCGACGGGTATGAATCTTTGTTATTGTTGGAAATACATCCACATTAATGATACCTTAAAATTAGAATACCTAAAACTTAACTAAGTTGTACGTACAGGTCATTACTATCTTGTCGACAATGGTTATACCAATGGAGATGGTTTCTTATCAGCTTATCGGGGAAAAATATATCATCTTCAATATTATAGTCAAGGTACCGATGCACCTCAAAATTATATGGAATATTTTAACATGACACATGCAAAGGCACGTAATGTGATAGAAAGGGCATTTGGTATTTTAAAGTCCATATTTGCGATTCTTAGAAGTCCTGCCTATTATCCTATCAAAGCTCAAAATCGAATTGTAATGGCATGTAGTCTTCTTCATAACTTCATAAGGACTACGAACGATTTTGATCCCGAAGAAGTCGTAGTTCTGGAAGACCCAGAAGAATCTGCTGATGATGATAAAGAAGAAGATGACAACAACAATGACGTCATTGACGCTTAATACATCAATGTTGTTGAACCATCACAACAATGGACTAATTGGAGAGACAACCTGGCTCAAGACATATATAATGAATGGCGTAACGACCATTAGTTGCTTGTTGATTTGTTATGTTTGATTAATGTTGTACTTGATTATTTTGTTGAATTTGTGTATTTTTTCGTGCTTCTGTGTTTGTTGTACTTTTCTATTGGCTGAACAAATTTAATTCTGTTGAATTCTATGTATTGTTGTACTGAAACTGCCGGTTTTTTTATGAGTGGATTCAAACTTATATTCGTAGTTGTAAAAATGTTTAGGATCCTAAATAAATGCAACAGTTTGTTTTGAATTGTAGCTTCATGGATCGAACTGGTTCATCGTCTAAGGTTGCAAATTCAAACGGGAAGTCTACTAACACACGAAGGACATGGACATTGCAAGAAGAACATGGATTGCTTCAGGCACTGAAGGACATTGTTGCACGCAGGTAGAAGTGCGATAACGGTTTCAAAACGGGATACCTTGCCACACTTGAGGGGGCTATGTCGGTGGCATTTCCGGGCACAGATTTGAAAGCCGAACCACACATACATTAAAAAATACATGTGTGGAAGAAATACTACGGTTCCTTAAGTACTATGCTTTCACGGTCAGGCTTCGGCTGGAATGATCCGTCGTGCACTATTGACGTGCACGATGACCAAGTTTGGGTAGACTACATTAAGGTAAGCTATTATTGTCTATGAAATTTATTTATTTTCATTTGCATATGTTTAATTGAACACGTTTACATAATGTAGTCAGACACCCACGCACGGACCATGCGTTTCAAAGCATGGCCATACTACAAAGATTGGGTAATTATCTTTGGCAAGGACCGTGCTACTGGAGAATATGCTGAGGCAGTCACTGAAACTGTCAACAACTTGGTGTATCCTACGAAGGGGAATGAGCACACTGGTCTTGGAGGTGACGACTATTCCTTTGTTGATGCACCAAATGATGAGTTCAGCAACGACCTTATGTCAATTGCCGGGGCAGACAGTGCATCTAGTTCGAAGAGTAAGCCTAAATCTAAAAACAAAAGAGGCCGGAGCAATGACATCAATGCCCGCTTGGTTGACATGATGTCCACTTTCTTTGACAAAGCAGATGACAAGTTGGGTCGTATAGTGAATAAAGTTGGATTCGAGTTTGATGTCTCTGAGTCAATGAAAAAGGTTTTTGATGCACTTAATCCGTTTGAATTCTTGAGTGGTGAAAACAAATTGCACGTGATAAAGGTAATATGCGAAAGCACGAAAAACATGGACATATTCTTTAGTGTCAACGAAGATCACAAGGCCATTATGGTTAATATGATTCTTAACGGTCGGTTCTAGCTAGCGTCTGTTTATGGTGTTTTATTCGTATCAACAATTACAAACAGTCTTAACTTATAGGTGTAGTATATTAGAACTAGTACATGGCTATTAAATTGCGCATGCATCACCACTGTTTTGTTGTATTATAGGTGAAGTTGATCACTAAGTTGCCCATGTTTCACCATATTTTGTTATATTACCTGTGAAGCGTATTAGTTGGAATGTAATTGTTAAATGATGGTGTTTTAACTTATGTTGGTATGATACATTTTAAGTATTTTAGTTTGACTTTTGTAATTAGAATTACTGGTACAATTATTAGATATTCCCTTTTCCTGTAAATTTTGCTTCTTACATATCTCGTATTTTGAATTTAAAATAGAAATAAAATTTTAAAAATGTGAGGAAAATTAATATAACATCAAATTAAAGTGCGTGGACAATTGCAATAACACATTCGTTTTGCAACATACTTTTTTTCTATAAAATTCGTAATTCTTATGAAAAAAGAGTACTGCAACGTGTGAATTTTCCAAGAAAAATCCACAAATAAACATTAATAATTAGCAATACCCAAAACATAGAAATAGACAAAATACCCGAAAAGAAGATAAGTCTAAATTAAAACAATATGTAGCCGCCCATAACTAATAACCAGTAGAATGGGAAAATGAATACAACAAAAACTAGTTTAATTAAGATGAACCCATCATTTGTTCGACGATTTAAACCCAAAATTCGGCTGGTTAGATCCAGACGAGCTCAACAACTCCCCATCCGGATTGATTTTTTTTATGTATACGATCCTCTTGTTCAAATGAGAACGGTACCGGGCTTCACGATCGTTTTTTCGGGTCGAATTTGCTGTGCTAAATTCTGTCTCTAGAGCCCTCTGAAATCAGAAAAGTTTGCCAAGTATTCTGCCACGTTAAATTCTACACTAGTTGAATTTCCAGACGAAATGTTTACAACAAAAGTTGACGGGGTTGGGTTGAGGGGCGCGATGTGCAGTGTTGTTGGGCCGTCCTCGTCATCCGATGATACGACAATTAGTTCGGTAGTGACTGGGGCTGTTTCAAAAAGGTGTTTCAGATCCTAGTATTTGGGCTCCCCATTCGTTGTGTATGCAACTGCGAATTTGTTATGCTGCGTAACACATAAATATGACATATAATCTTTATATTTGATGATATACATTTATCTACGATCAAAAAAAATAAGTTAATTTACTTATACATAATACGAGTATCTTCAAAATAGATTCCATCGTCTCTTTCAAGGCTGAAATGCGGTTAGTCGTTGCATCATAAACAACTCCGTCAATTGATAACATCCATTGGAAGGTTTTCGAACCTTTTCTCAAGAACGCAACACCTTTTGGCTATGTATGTCAAAGGAAAAAAAGTCCAAAATTTTTGTGGATTGCTCCTTGAGCAGAAAATAATGCCATAGTATTTTTAGCACCACTTTTAAAATTTTCCAACCGAGATTCAAACAACAAAACTTCATTGAAGTAGTTATCAATTGTTTCATTCCAACCTAATTGAAACTGAAAGCCTTCTGGTCGGACAGTGGGGTTTCATTGTCGGTGGCATATTTTTTAAGTGTATATGCAATTGCAACCAATGGATGTTTAATATAAACACCAACAATACTTATATAGATGCAATTGTTAATTTACAACCATCATAACTGCATTGATTTTTCAGTTGTACTCAACCTACTAAGCACATATGGTAGTGAATCCGATCGACATATTTGATTGACCACTCAAGAATATCCATGGAATTAAATGAAAAAAAAAAGATTTTTTTTTTTGAAATTCTAGAGTACAAATTTGATTTTAATTCAATTAACCATTTATAACATTCTTTTACAGATACACAAGAATTTTCTGTATAGTCATCATTTCATTGGAACCACACAAATTTAGTAATTGGTACTTGTGTGAGGTTATTAAAGGCTCGTTAATGACATTGAACTACCACAGTTGGATAAATGTCTCATCGTTAACATCAATACTCAATTAATGCATGAGTATAGTCTCATCAGTTTTGAAATGCCAAGAGCCGTAATTATTGTCATAAAACGTGTGAGAATAAACTTACATAATACCCCATTTAATAAACCTCAACTACTAGTTTCATGCTATTTATACATGGTTCTCATTCAATTAATCCAACACACAGCATATCTTTCATATTCTATATTCTCAAAGTGCAAAAACAATGCCTCGTACCAGAAATCAGTGCATCAATGACATTTTCAATGGTATGGATTGGCCACTATGCTACGATCAAGTACTAATGCGGTCAATCTATGTCCATACGAAGAAGATGGAGAACCTCGAATCTGTTGAGGTGTTCAATGGAGTGCTAGTGAGTGTTACAATGGTCTTACAGGAAAGGATATCGAAGAAGATAACTCTGGAGGAGGTCAAACTACGTGTACATGCACTTCGAAAGCGATTTTATGCATTTCTAAAGTACATTTCAAGCAATGGTGTCAAATTTAACCCATGCTCAAATGAGCTAAAAGTTGATATGCCACTATTCACCAAGGACACGCTGTAAGTTTCTAAACTATAATTATTTACTACTTTCATGACATGTTATTTAACAAAAAATGTTGAAATGGTTTATAATAAAATGGTAGGAGACAATGGAAGAACGCTGATTTCGTGTCAATGGTTTTCCTCTTTAATACACATGTATGGTCGTATTTCACTTCAAGAACGTTGCCCCCGTTGATTTTAATGGAATGCCAGGATATAACATTGACGAACCACTGGTTATCGATGATGGTGAAGACAAAGAAGAAGACTTAAACATTGGTGCACAAGAGGCAAAAAAAGATAAGGCAGTTGAGGCTACTGTGAACGAAGTTGGTGGCTCGGTGGGAGCAGATATAGGAGGCTCGATGGTGGTATATGTGGGTGGCTCGGTGGGGGCAGATGTGGGTGGCTCGGTGGGAGCAGATATAGGAGGCTCCATGGTGGTATATGTGGGTGGCTCGGTGGGGGCAAATGTGGGTGGCTCGGTTGATGAAGATGTGGGTGACTCGGAGGAGGAAGATGCGGGTGGTTCGGTTGTGAAGATGTGGGTGACTTGGAGGAGGAAGATGCGGGTGGTTCGGTTGAGGAAGATGTGGGTGACTCGGAGGAGGAAGGGTCTGCCAACAGCAACAACTCGTTTATCATATAATGGGATCGTAACGTTTCTACAACAAATCTTAGTATCTAGAATGAAGACGTGTTTTATTTTAAGTTTATCTACCTAAGTTATTAGTGGTTCTACCTAAGTTCATTCCATGGGTTGTTTGCATTAAGATAAACTAGCGGCCGTTAAAGGCAAAATTTCTAAGGCTTAGTTTGTAAGATATTATGTCAACCCTTAATCTAGTAGTAAAATGTTCTAAGTCTAATTAACATTAGCTATTTTAAATGCATTTTTACTGTTAAGTAAAACAACGATGTTCAACATTAAGCACAAACATACGTAAAGCTTCACAAACTCAAAACAACTGGTGAAAGATCCCAAAAAACAGAAACCACATCATACGCAATCAATAACCAAACAAAACACAACACACAAACAATATTGTTGCAACCATGAATGTAATTTTAACATACAATAAGATTGATACGTTACCAACATGGTTAGGTGTCCTATGATTTCCTTCGGAAAGCTCTCATCTTGCCGTTTCCGAAATCTCTCTTTTAGTTGCTTCCGAAAGCTCTCTCACTGCAACTTTCAATTCTGTTTCTAAAGTTTCGATTTTTCTCAGCAAACCAGGTATTATTTGCTTTGCTCATTCACAAATAGTTGGATCACACCATACGAATAATCCACAACTTTGTTTCTGCAATCAAATAAATATCATTAATAATTACATAACTTAAGATACTAACGTAGACAAATATGCCAAAAATTTTGAAAATATTTAACTTTTGTAATTACACAAAAAAAAAAAAAAAAAAATCGAATCTGGAATACAGACCCATCACTTTATGTCAACAATTCCAAAATCAATTGTTTATTTATACCAACAATATTTTTCTAAGGAGGAATAAACAGAGAATTCAATAAAACGCCGACCAGGGTTGCTCGCCGTCCAGGACGTCTGTAACCGCAGTTTCAATTGGCATTTGCAGAACTCTGGATCAATCGGCACCTCATGAGATGCACCAAAATTGTTGCGATTGTAGTCCCGTTCACATCTGCTGTTTATAGAACTCGTAGACATGCCTTCACATCAACGAGGAGGAGTGGGTGTTTACCGTGCGAGAATAATGGACGAAACCCTAGTTCATAACTTGGGGGAAAAATAAACGCAATTTCTGGTGGGGGAGCTAATAAAAATATGTAATGAAGTTTGATGGTATTTTTGGGCTTTAATATTTAATCCCCGTGATTCAACGAAAGCAAACACCAAATTCACTATCATTGATATTGTCTACATCAGAACCAAACATGAGGTTCAAAAAATTATATAGTATTGTCTATCCCAAAATTGTGTAATCAATATTTTTTGGTCAATCCTCTCATACAAAGCAAAAGAGCCTTTAGTTGGAGTGTTTAGATTAAAAATAGACAGTTTAGTTGGAGAATTTGGCCGAAAATAAATATGTTAGATTGAAAAAGGACTAAGACGACGATGACAACCTTTTTCAGTGACATAGTTGGCCGAATTTAAAAAACACACTATATTTTGTAGTGGATGTGGTTTTGAAGATGGATGAGGTGGAGCAGTTTAAAGTATTTTCAGTCTAAACTCTTTAATTAAGCTAACCGATTGACTTTTAGCAAAATGTTAAAATAAGATTGTCTACTATAGTATTAACAAAAGATAAAATAAAAAAAATATTTAAAAATATATAAATTGAATTAAAAATATTTTTTCGTAATCTTCAATATTATGAAGATAAAAAATAAAATTTTAATTGTGTAAAAAATGCTAAAATGAAGAAATAGAAGGAACTAAAAAGGACAAACGTGTTTTGTATAAAAAAAAATTTAAAAATGTTGGTTGAAAAAAAATAATATTTTAAATGCAGACTAAAAAACGATTAATGCAATTTGAATTTTACTTAATGTAAATTTCGAATTTGTGGGAGGGCATTTTTGGAATGAATTTTATTAAGGATGCGAAGCAAATGTTTAGTTAAGATTGTCATTTAGTTCCAATAAGTTTTGTCATTAGGGATCTATATCCCAATGCCCAAAATTATATTAACTTTCTGTTTATAATTTCTGATCAATAATAAAAATATATTTTTGGAGATTGTTTGAACTAGTTCATTTTATTGTAACTTTGTACACTCAATTTGGACTGTGTTTGAATTACCGCAGTTGACATGAAATTATTTGGAACGTCCAATTTGTACAAGGTTTGAATTGCTAGAGTCGACATAATTTGAAATAATTTTTCAATGGTGAATTCAAATCCTTTAAAAGTTCTTCAGTTCTATCTACGGATGGAAATTGGAATTTGAAGTTTATCTTTTCGTCGAATTCGATCCGATTATTTTTTATTTTTTTTTTTATTTTAGAAAAATATTTTTTATACCGAATTTTGAAAAATCCTATTCCGATCTTTTTTTGATTTTTTTGGATCGGAATTGGAATACAAATGAGATTTCAATTTCCGATTTTTTCAATTTTTGCCACAAAATAGTGTTTTCCGTTAGATGTGAACAAACAAGACAAGTAACACGAAAATGACTGAATGTGTATAAAATTGAACTTTTAAGGTATATTTTGTTCACTTTAGAACAATGGGGACCAAAGGGAAACATGAGGGACAAATAATGTAATTTCGTCAACATTAATCAAATTTATTTGATAAATTTTGCCTTAATTGAAAAATTTGAAACATTTAATTTAATAAACATAAACCGGATCCGAAATATGTAACCCGTTCCGATTTCCGACCCGGTTAATCGTTAAACCTCACACGATCCAAACAGATTCATCAACCTTCTTTACAAACCCGACGGGCGGGCCCCACATCGCTAACCCCTCAAATCCGTACGTAATATTGACGCTTCATTTCTCCCAAGTTTTTTCAATCAATTCGATACCACTCTAAAACCCTAATACTAAAATTCCCTAATCCAACCAAACTACCTCGATCCTTGTAACTAATTTTCCTCCGGTTAAAATCATGCCGGACGTCCATTCCCTCGTGAACGATTTCGTAATCAAGCTCAAGAAACGGTACAATTGTTGAGTTTTTTTATTTATTATTTTTTTATTTTTTAAATTAAATTTCAATGATTCTACTGATAGCAGTCAGTTTGTTTTTGTTTAATTTCAATGGCTCGATTTGTGTGTGTGTTTTTGTAATTGCAGTAAAATCGAGGGGTCGAAGGCCACGGCGAAACAGACGGTGGAATTGCTTCGGTCGTTCATATCTCAGCAGAGGCTGCCGAACAGCAACCAAGCCGCGGCGCTCATTGAGGCCGTTAGAGCTGTCGGAGAGAACCTCATTGCTGCTAATCCTGTCGGTATGTTAACTAGATGTCTTCACATTTTTTATTTTTTATTTTTCTTTTACTTAATAAATAACCTCATTCTGTGTTTATATGGGAAGTATTGCTGGAAATTTTGGTAGCACTCGTGTTCCTGAGAGGTCATTAATAGTTACAGTTGATAAAAAAAACAATCCACATTTGTAAAGAAGCAATTTTTACCCGTTTCCAGTTAATTTAACTGATCATGCTTTTGAGAATATGTTGAAAGTCCATCGATTAGAAAGTCTTGATTAGAAAAAGGATAAGTGGGATGAGAACTAGAAGAAATGATGTTAGAATTATTAAAACAACGAAGATGGTAAAACAAATCCATCATTGTTTGGTCGAAATCATCCTCCGCTAAAAGAGTTCAGATTCAGGAGGGGGGCCGAGATGTTTTTGTATTTTTTTTAAATATAAAGCAGTCTCACAAAGATCTACTGTAAGATTGAGATACAAAATTGTTTCCCTTGGGTAGTGTTCTTGGTTTATTTGGCTTGCCACCTATTCATAATCATTGTGATTTTTTTGGTATCCTTCTCCAATACCTAGTTGCTTACTAACAGGAGTGTCAGAATGTGAGCTCCTTTGGTACCTCAGGAATTACTCAGTCCCGATAATTATGAAGTATTTACCTTTCAATTGTTTGGAGTATGCTACAAGAATCTTAATATTAATTCCCTTGACAAAAATTCCTGTTGTAGAAGCTCATTTTCTTTCAACTGAAAGAAAACCCTGCAGATTTACTGTTGCTTCTTGAATGTTGATTACGTAAAAAGCTGTAATAAACGACACTCTTAAATACCTAAATGCTCACAGTTTCTAATACTCTGATGGTGTTGCTTGACTTTGATTTCAGAGTTGGCTGTCGGAAATGTTGTACGACGTGTTCTTCATATTATACGTGAAGAAGACCTTTCTCTGGCTACTGCTGCTGTTGGTGGGATAAGTTTGGCAGATGAAAGTGATGATGATGATTTCGAGCAAGATGATCATCCAGTTTTATCAGCTACCGCAGTAGCTGCTGCTGCGAGAAGTTCGTTGAGGCCGCCCTCACTGCAGACTCTCCTTGAAGACGCTCCACACGCAGCAGCTGCTCCTCACCCCTCTTCTTCTGGTGGTGATTCTGAAGGAAAAAGCAAATGTATGTTCTTCAGCTCTCATTGCATATAATACTCTAACATCAGCCATAAGATATGTGACCAGTACTTTCTTGTGAACGCAGAACATGTTTTTTTTTGTTTTTCAAAATAGATGTGAATAACAAGTAGTCATCAAGGCATTTTATGTCATGTCTAAGTTTGGATAATGGAAATATGGCACAAGTTATGTAATGCCTTGAATAATACTGTCTTCTAAGTTCTATCTTTATTGTATTTTCCTTCAGCTGCTGATAAAAATTCAGTGACTCGGAAACTGAAGCACAATGTCATTGAGGCAGTTAATGAACTCGTTCAAGAAATCTCTACTTGTCACGAACAGATTGCTGAACAAGCAGTGGAACATATACATCAAAAGTAAGTTTTCACATCTTTGTATGCTCAATAACTTATTTTATTTGCATGTTAAATGTTTTATGTGCTTGTGTATTCAGCTGAGTTAAATATTTGTTATGACGCTTTACTGTGTTCAGCCTGTTTGTATAGTAAGTATAGTTTGTTCACATAAATAATGTCCGATGGTAATCCTGATAAGGTAGCTTTTGATGTACTCTCATGGGCAATTAGTGAGCTTCCATGTGTGTTTTCATGGAGTAATCTGCACATTTGGAATTATAAGTTGTTACATGTAATTGTTTCGTACAGGGATCCACAATGCCCTTGGTACCTCAGCTTGATTTTGGTGTCTTTCTTCAGTAATAACTAATACGTAAAAAAAATAAGTTCTCGAGACTTCCGAAAAAAAACTTCTTACTTTGTTGTCGAGTTGAATTGAACTTAAACTAGTTTTGAATAAGATAAGTTAATCGAGAGTTGATCTATGGTGCAGCTGTTTGAGGTTCGAAATTTTGTCCATGGTGGACTTAAGTTCACATTGATTTATGGTTAGAAGGCCCAAAATCTATTATGTTTAGACTAAGCATGCTTTCATGTATGAATTTATGAGCTTAAAACCAATAATCAAAATGTTTAACCTACACATCGTAACAAGTAAATTTCAACTGGCTATTGCTAAATTTTCTAACAAGAAACCAATGGCACCAAATCTCTTCCCATTTCATAATTATTAGAAAATGCATCATATCGTGTAACTTAATTCATAATATTTTAGATAGTAATTGCTTAATTATCATATGAGAAATCAACGGGGCCCAAAACCTCTTGCTATTCCATATTAGTCACAAGATCCGATTTTCTTTTACATTTATCTTGTCATCTTTTTTAATCATGCCCCCCCCCCCCCCTTTCTATACTGAACTTGAAAGTGGACCTCTGGAATGCCAAGTCCACGCCCACCGGTCCCTTACCAGAGTTGGTGTGACTGTTTGTATGTTTCAAACAAACCAATCACAGCTCCAGACGTACCTAACGGTCTACGTTTTCGGTGTTTCTGTTTAGTTTATTAGTATGAATTACTGACGGTGCAACTCTCTTTCTGTTTCGATTATGTTTCAGTGAGGTGATCCTGACTCTAGGCAGTTCAAGGACAGTGATGGAGTTTCTGTTTGCTGCAAAGGAGAAAAAGAGGACATTCCGTGTGTTTGTTGCTGAAGGTGCCCCAAGGTTGAATGTCTGAACGGTTGTCCGCCGTGGCAAATGAGTTAGCTTTAACATTATGTAATTAAATGCAGTTGTGCCTCTACAGATCTCAATTTTCTGTATGTATTTGTTATTTTATCAGATATCAGGGGCATGCTCTTGCAAAAGAACTGGCTGCAAGGGGATTGCAAACTACAGTTATTACTGATTCTGCAGTTTTTGCCATGATTTCCCGAGTCAACATGGTATGTGATAATTGCATCAAACTTTTCAATTCTTATTGTCCTGCCTTTAAAAAATTTCTTCATTTAAAGGTTATAGTTGGAGCACATGCTGTCATGGCTAATGGTGGGGTTATAGCACCTGTGGGATTGAATATGGTGGCCCTAGCAGCTCAAAGGCATGCCGTTCCTTTTGTTGTACTCGCTGGGGTTCATAAGGTATTTAGCCGCAAGGCTCTATAATTTGTTTATGTGCCCAAAGGACTATATTAATTTTATTGTTCTCTCATGTCATCACCAATTACAAAATCACCTACTTATACATGTCAAAATTTCTTTCTGAAGAAAAATAAGAAATAACGAAAGAGAGAGAGAGAAAAAGAAGACAAGAAAAATAAACGTTTTTCAGTCATTTGGCTTACATCTAGGAATAGTATGTGGTGCCCAAAGGGCAATAACACTTTAATTCGTCGCTCTTCTCATCTCAATTCTAAAACAACCTGTACATATGTGTGTAATGGACTCGTGAGAAATTCATTCATTGAAAAATCACTCATATTAATGTAGACAAAATATGACATTCTGCTACCAAAGAATGGGCATTGTTCATAATCAAATCCATTTTGATTTGATTTTTATTGTCAAAATACTGTTACTGCGTGTGTCATTTTGAAGCTTTTGTACTCTGTCAAATTAAAGCTTCTTTGCCCAAATATATCCCTAAAATAGATCTGGTACTTGTTTTACCGAGAAGTCCGGCATGTTGTCTTTGTACATTATTCGATGAAATTTTAAAGAGTGGCTCTTTAATGAGTTTCCTGTTGTTATGTATATGAAACCCTTCCTCTGTGTTTTGTGTTAGTCCATTAGACTATTGTTTCAGTTGGTCCAATCTGCTTCTAATCAGTTAATATGTAGACCATTCTGTTAGGGGCGGTTGGGACCATAGGTATCGGTGCTCGATAGACACAATAGTTCCCGTATTTACTCAATCACATTAATGTAAATCATCATTAACTTCTTGAACTTGCATGTTCGACTTGAAATGATTTGAATACCAGCTTGTTAAATAGATGAAAACCATTTATCCAAATCTCTATGGTGACTATTAGAATCCCCGTGGAACATATTTGCGCTTAAAATTATTGAAAACAAAAGGTCAATGAAGCTCTATAAGTTGATGAAAAGGTATCACGGCGCGTTTTTTAAAGGATATACGATACCGATTTGGTTCCATTCATTCTGGGTGAGCACACTAGTTTCTTAAGCAATTCATGACAGGATTGAATGCATTGATGTAGCATAGCTTTCCTCTACTTGCATTCCCAGCTTAATATTTGTATAAATTCCTATAAGAAATTACATTTTCTTCATTAAGTATTTGATTTCTCCAACTATACAGCTCTGCCCACAATACCCTCACAACCCAGAAGTCCTATTGAATGAACTGAAGTCTCCATCTGAGCTGCTGGACTTTGGAGAATTCTCAGACTGTTTGGATTTTGCGAGTGGCTCTGGTTCACCTCTTCTTCATGTAGTCAATCCCGCATTTGACTACGTGCCGCCAAATCTTGTTAGCCTATTTATAACTGACACGTAAGTCCGTCGTAACAAATATCTAAGAACATAGTTTGAGAACTTCAAACTTCAAACTATATTTTCTTATGGAAATATGAATGAAAGACTGGTAATAATTTATTTTAAAATTATTTAAACCATGGGAATCATGAATATCATCTGATGGAGTCTTTATAAAGACTAGTCAAATACTTCTGACTTTATTTTGTCAAAATTTTCAGTGCTACAAATTCTTATTAACACTTGATGTTTATACAGAGGTGGTCACAACCCTTCATATATGTACCGGCTCATTGCTGATTATTACTCCGCTGATGATGTAGTAGTGAAACGGAAATCCGCTTCTTGAAGCTCAGTTTTAGCTAGCTTTGTCTCGAAAACATGTTGGTAAGTCTTTTTATCTATTTGAAGTTTTGAAAACTGTATAAAGGTAAACACTTATGTTTTTTTAATAAAGTTAATGAAAAATTAAATATTATCTGGTGTATAAATCAGATGCATGATCGAAGTTAAATTCATTTTAATGATATCTGACTGGGCAAAAAAATTATCTTTGTTTTTTGTATGAAGTGGGAAACTAAATTGTATTGCATGTAATCATTTAATCATTTTTCCCCAAAGAAACAAGCTGTTCAAAACTAGAAGTCTCGGGCACAAGAAGAATTTTGGGTTCGCAAAGCTTGAATCTGTATAGGAAATGCTGAATTTTCTAGAAAGTCGTTAAAAATTTTGATGAGCAGAGAGATGTATGTTGTGTCCTTGCACACACTTGTGTTTGTGTTTCTTAATGCATGAATGAGTAGTTGAGCACACACCCATAGCTTTACATTTAAATCGTGCTTCATAAACATATCTTATTAATTGGCTTTAAAATGGACTGGAAAAATCTACATTAATACGAGATGCTGTAAGCCCTTCTCTTGAGAGAGGATATAACGTAAGCTATTGGATATTTGGCTCTGTAGCTCGTTAAGTTGACTCTTGCATATTATTTTGGAAAACATTTAGCATGGTTGGGTCTAGTGGCAGTCTGTTTGAGTATGAAGCTTAAGATACACTCTATCTATCTGTCGATTGCCGATTTTGAATAAATTGTAGTTTGATATTTCTTTAGCAAATCACAGAATTCTGAAGTTATAGTCGGTTATTTATAATCTGGATACACTGATCCCTTTTTTTTATTTCCTGGCAGTGGAATCTAGAAATTAGCAGAATGGGAAACCTCGTCGAATTCAAGCAAGGATTGGAAAGGGTCGAACCTTTTTGTAGATGCTTGCTGGAAACGAGTGATGTTCAGAGGAAAGAGTACATACATTTTCGGATGATATTTTTTGGTCATGTTTTGATAGTGATAAAGTGAACTAAAACACGAGATTAAACACAAGTGTCATATGTAGTTTTGGTCTTTACCCCTTGATGATTATCAAGAGGAGCGAGCACGTGACATTTTACTCGGTAGAAAAAAAGAAGTTTCTGTAACTCGAAAAAAAATTCTATTGCGCATTGATATCGGGTCTTTAGTTTACTGCTTTATTAGTCTCTTCTTCCCCTTAAAAAGAGCTGAAAGTTGTTTTGTTTGTGATTTGCCTATACTTGTGATGTTTGTTCGTTGACAAGGTTCGTATGCATTCGTTTTGCTGACCTATTTCTCGTCACACACACACGCGTATAACTGCAAATATAAATTATGAGATGGGAATAGTTCTACTAAAGCCCCACATATTATAGATGTTTGTCCAAATACTGTCAAAATCGTATGATTTTCGATTCAAATCTTGTGTAATCTTAATGTAAAAAATCATTGCTCAAATCTTATGGTTTGATTTATTCCCTCTTGGATTCAACTTCTGGAATACATCTTGAATGTGAAAAAAATCACTGCTAAATTTGTTAATCTCACGATTTATGATTCGATTGTGTGCTTTACTATTTAGGGTAAATAGCACTTAATCCCCTTGTAGTTTGGGCATTTTGCACATGACCCTCTTATGGTTTGAAATTAGGCACATAACCCCCTTGTGGTTTTGACATTTTGCACATGACCCCCTTATGGTATGAAATTAGGCACATAACCTCCTTGTGGTTTTGAAATTTTGCACATGACCCCGTTATGGTATGAAATTAGCACATAACCCCTTGAATAGAAAACTGGAAAAGACTAAATTACCCCTATCAAGTCAAAATTTCTTGTTTTAATTTAAAAATCATTACAATATAAAATAAAAGGCTTAATGTAATTTTTTGTAAAATGAAAAATATAAAATATTATCGTGTTTTTTTTTTAATTTTACAGCACAAAAGGTATATATACTAG